TCATCTGATGCTTTTTATTATTTTCCAGGGGTTAGAACTGCAGGAAACCTCCTGCCACACTGCTGAAGCCCACAGAGTTGATGAAATCTTTGAGACAGCCTTTGAACAGGACGAACACAGTCATGTAATTTCTTTCAACCATCACTTTGGAAATATTTTAACACCTTGTGCCGTTCTCCCAGTGAAACTCTATTCCGATGCCAGAAGCATCTTGTCTGGAATAATTGATTCTCCCGACAATAGGAAGCAGTTGAAGGAGGACTTCATAAAAATCCTCATATGGGTGTTAATTCAGTACAGCTATGAGAAGTCAAAAACGCAAAGATTGCTAGAAAGGAGACCCAAATCCATGCCAGAGTCACCTCCAGTAGAACTACCTGAGATTTTTGAGAAAGTAGTGGAAAGAAGCCCCTGGAAGGATGACGATGGTTTAAGTGTGCAGTCGGTGGAAGACTGGACTGATGATAGCAGTCTTTTTGATGATGAACTCTGCAAAACCAAACCAAAAGAAATCACTGCACAGGGAGTAACACCAAGGCCCTTCTTTTCTCTTCCAGGCTCAGTTGAAATACACACTACGGAAACCGAGCTACCAGAGGCGGCCAGTGTGAATAAACTCTATAAAACTGTTGTTCTTGGTCTTCCTGCAGTAGATACGGGGAAGCAATGGGGACAGATGGATTTGCCCCCCGTGAAATTCAGTAACCCCTATTCTGAGCTGCTAAGCCTTCCTGAAGAGTGGAGAACGGCTCCCTTGCCAGTAACCAGACTCCGTGACATGAAGCAGAGGTTTCCAGAAGACTGGTATCACTTTGTACTCCACCAATTAGATTTCTTTCATTTGAAAGGAAAGCCTCCAAGCCTGCACGGAGACCTTGTGAAAGACTCTGCTTTGAAGGACTTGTACATCCAGGGTATCTTGCCTTGTTGCGTTTCAATCTTTGGAATAGAGGACACTGTTCCTTCTCCTGGGCACATATTCAGGGCTTACAATGGAGGCCTCCCCTGGTCTGTCTGTTTGGACTGGCTGACAGCAAAGCAAGAGCTATTTCAACTTGTGCTCCAAGCATTCAGGTAACTGATAAGTAGCATTCTAGACACAATGAAGATACGCTGTATATACTTGTATATGAAAATCAAAATATGTATGTATGTTGGTTTGTTTGTACCACAAACATTCCTACATGGTTTGTGGTACAAAAGAAGTTTGGGTTTGAGTATCTCCAGGATGGCTTTATTAGAAATATGATTTGTTACGTTAACCCAAAGGAGCCCCCGGTGGCGCAGTGGGTTAAAGCACTGAGCTGCTGAGCTTGTTGATCGAAAGGTCGCAGGTTCGATTCCGGGGAGCGGCGTGAGCTTCTGCTGTCAGCCCTAGCTTCTGCCAACCTAGGAGTTTGAAAACATGCAAATGTGAGTAGATCAATAGGTCCGGCGGGAAGATAACGGCGCTCCATGCAGTCATGCCGGCCACATGACCTTGGAGGTGTCTACGGACAACGCTGGCTCTTCGGCTTAGAAATGGAGATGAGCACCACACCCGAGTCAGACATGACTGGACTTAATGTCAGGGGACTACCTTTACCTTTTTACCTACGTTAACCCATAGGTGTTTATTCTTTTGCCGTGCATCTTTCAGGTACTCAGTTAAGCTTATGGTTGATAAAGCAAGCCTGGGTCCAATTGAAAATTTTAAAGAGCTGCTAAACTGTCTTGAAGAATACCATAACGACTGGTACGTTGGACTCGTGTGTGAAAAGGAATGGCAGCAAGCTGTTCTCCAAGAAAAGCCGTATCTTTTTTCTTTGGGGCACGACCCTAATATGGTAAGTGACAAGAAACACAAATAAAGTTGATGTCACTGATTTTCTAGATCTCTCATAGCAACATTCGTGAGTGTGAGAGGGTTTAGCCCCTGCAGGAAGGCACACAGCTAAGTTTGTAGCTAAAAATGCCAAATGGCAAGTGGGTTTATTAACAAAATACCCTCCCCATGAATGTATAGCACAGTAACTTATTAGCAGCAACATGACCCAGCACCAGTAGCCACAAGTGATAAAAAGAACAAAAAGACCAATGTTATATCTTCCTTAGGAGGCTTTTCTTTATAGCAAAATATGGTTGCACTATTTACAAGAACAAGGTTTCCATAACACAAATACATTTCTTTATACTTCCTTTTTTTTGCTTCAACGCTGGGCTTTTTTTTCATGCAGATAAAAAGCTTCTCTCACAGAGCTTCTCATACCAACCTTACACAGGCGCTTCACACAGTAGCTTTTTGCACACAGGAGCTGCACACACAAGGCCTTCAACCTGGATCTTCTGTCACACTGAGACAAACTAACACTGAGGCCTACCTCACACTGAAGCCTACTAAGACTGAGGTCCTCACACTGAGGCCTTTCTCCCACTGAGGGCTCTGTCAGACTGACGCCTCTCACACTGAGGCAAACTAACACTGAGGCCTACTAAGCTACAGGCACACCTGCGTATAGTGAACTACAGCATTTTTTGAGTCATTGCACCTATTTAACCCTTTCAGTTCTTAACACGCATTTTTGTACAGGGTATTTTTTATTTATCGTGCAACCATCAGCAACCATACCATTGTATTACATTTCTAACAGAACAAAATAAACAAACAGATTAAAAAAGCACAAATTTTGCAAACTTGATAGTTGATTAAATGTCCTTTGAACAGTATCTGGCCACTTGCAGTGCCTCTGGTGTTGCCGCAAGGAGGTCCTCCATTGTGCATGTGGCAGGGCTCAGGTTGCATTGAAGCAGGTGGTCAGTGGCTTGCTCTTCTCTGCACTCACATGTCGTAGACTCAACTTTGTAGCCCCATTTCTTAAGATTGGCTCTGTGTCTCGTGGTGCCAGAGCGCAGTCAGTGCCTTCCAAGTCGCCCAGTCTTCTGTGTGCCCAGAGGGAGTCTCTCATCTGGTATCACCCACGGATTGAGGTGCTGGGTTTGAGCCTGCCACTTTTGGACTCTCGCTTGCTGAGGTGTTCCAGTGAGTGTCTCTGTAGATCTTAGAAAACTATTTCTAGATTTAAGTCGTTGACGTGCTGGCTGATACCCAAACAAGGGATGAGCTGGAGATGTCTCTGCCTTGGTCCTTTCACTATTGGCTGCTACTTCCCGGCGGATGTCAGGTGGTGCAATACCGGCTATGCAGTGAAATTTCTCCAGTGGTGTAGGGCGCAGACACCCTGTGATAATGCGGCATGTCTCATTAAGAGCCACATCCACTGTTTTAGCTGTGGTGAGATGTGTTCCACACTGGGCATGCATACTCAGCAGCAGAGTAGCATAACGCAAGGGCAGATGTCTTCACTGTGTCTGGTTGTGATCCCCAGGTTGTGCCAGTCAGCTTTCGTATGATATTGTTTCTAGCGCCCACTTTTTGCTTGATGTTCAGGCAGTGCTTCTTGTAGGTCAGAGCATGTTCCAGGGTGTACAGGGTGAGGCAGCATAACTTCCTTTTTTCAAAACTTAATAAAACCCATTGTATGAATCAGATTTTTTTTTTTATAATGTAGGCGCATACCTAAAGTTTTGTTTTACCTAGTTTTGAAGATCAAATTAGGTAAGTGACATCCCCCATTCTCCATACACTAAGTAAACCGATTTCTGGTGTTTGTCATGACTCTTGCCAGCATAGCAGGTGTTATGTTGGCAATTTCTTCCTGGATGTTGGTCTTTACATCTTGTAGGCCCCTTGGACGGTTCACATAAACACATGATTTCAAAAAAAACCCCTTAGAAAAAAATCACAAGGGGCCAAATCTGGAGAGCGGGCTGGCCACTCCAAATCCGCTCGAAAAGTAGGCCTCAACGGCAAAAGCACGCTCCTCACTGTTCCAACGCATGATGGCGACTGAACTGTGTCAGGACAAGACTTTATACTCCCGCCTCTTGAACGAGACCACTAGCACTCCGTTATGTCTTCAACCGACTGGCGCGCATTTTAAAAAAGGAAGTTATGCTGCCTCACCCTGTAATTACCAATACCTAATTAATTTTTTAATATTTCTGACAGCATAGTCAGTGCTATATATGAGCTCATGGTAGGAAACAAGAGAAAATATACAGGATGTTCTGGTAAGGTTTACTTTTATTGTTGCAAGTAGTACATCTCAGATACAACAGAAAGTTACCTAAGTTTGATAGATGAGCCCCTAATTCTGACACTCATGTGTCAGGCCTCTTGAGGCAGAGATAGGCCTCATGGTGCTTCTCAAAGGCAATGTTTTCATTGAACTTGCCCTGCACAGTGCTCTAATACATGCTGACCTTTTTGTATGTGTTTTACACCTTCCAGGGAGTTTATACGAGCAGAGTCCTTACCCTCCAGGATTTCCTGGTGCAGGTGGGAAAACTGAATGGCGAAGCGGTCAGAGGACAGTGGGCAAATCTCTCATGGGAGCTGCTTTATGCCACAAATGACGACGAGGAACGCTACAGCATCCAAGCCCATCCTGTCCTCTTGAGGAACCTGACCATACAAGCAGCAGACCCTCCCTTGGGCTATCCGGTTTATTCCTCTGAACCTCTCCATGTGCCTTTGCTCTAGTACTGGGCCATTTCCTGGGCAGGAAAATGAGGCTTTTTCCTTCTCGTTGTTGAACCAGTCAACTGGAAGATGATGGCTATGAAGGACAAGTTCTGGTACGAATCCTCGAATACGTCTCTTTCAGTTCTACAACTTTCAGATCCTGCAAGGCTGCTAATCAGAGACACTACACACTGGGACAAGATGTAATGCAGGCAATAAGCTCAATAATGTTTTCATTTTTAAAAAATCCTGAAAAAACTGCATTTTGACAGGTGACTTGCACCAGGATGTTGGTCACAGCTTGTATACTTTAAACCACAGATTGCTACATAATGTATATATGATATGCAAGGTTTTGATACAACAGACATTTTTTTTCACTTGTTCCATTGTGTACTTTATTTTGCGCTGTCAAAGGAATACTTTAACAAACAGGTTACAAAAACAGAGATTTTTTATTAAATACAGCAAACTGGACGCTAGTAGTTTGGGAAAAGCAGTCTATCTGGTACAGTAAGGTTGATAAGTGGAAAGATTTGTTTCACAATTGTGCTATTTAGAGATAAAATTCAGATTGGGATTTCAATTCCCATATGCAGGATGCATTTATTTTTTTCTGGAGGGAAAAAAATAATTTGTTATTTCCCCCCTGTATTTGCTGAAAGAACTCTCTGGGAAAGCATTTCATTATTACCAGTTTGTTAATCAAACTGTCCATAGGTTGTTGTAGGTTTTTCGGGCTATATGGCCATGTTCTAGAAGCATTCTCTCCTGACATTTTGCCTGCATCTATGTCGGGCATCCTCAGAGGTTGTGAGGATGCCTGCCATAGATGCAGGTGAAACGTCAGGAGAGAATGCTTCTAGAACATGGCCATATAGCCTGAATAACCTACAACAACCCAGTGATTCCGGCCATAAAAGTCTTCGACAATAAACTGTCTATAGCTTCCAGTATTTTGCCATCTCAACCTTCCACTTAGATGCCAATCAAATAATATTAGCTAGGTGTCCTATTGACAAGTAATGAAGGCAAATGCGTTTTCATTAGCGGCATAAAAGAAATTTTGTAAAACAAATTTTGGATGTATAACACACTCTGTGATTTGAGAAATTTCCTACTGCTTGGTGTAGAGTAGGTTGAAGGGATGGAGGTATTAGGATTGCTTGTCCCTTTAGTATTTTCCACACAGAAAAATGATAAGCAACACCCCAATTTTGGGCTCTGAGGACCCACCTAGACTGCACTATGCCTGGAAAGATTGAAAATGGGGAAAACCCAAAGCTGGAAGTTCACTTTCTGTTCAGTTTGGAATAAGCAGAAGGATCTTAAAGTACCTTTGGGACTGATAGACTTTTTAAGACTGATATTTTAAATGCAATTTTCCTGCTTCTTGGCGGGGGTTGGACTGAGTAGTCCACGAGGTCTCTTCCAACCCAATTCTATGATTCTAAGACCTCAGCCCGTCACCCTCCTTGTTTTATTCTGAGGAAGGGGACTTAAGTCTATGAAAGCTCAGGCTACCAGCTTCTTTCCCTCTCAGACGTTACGTGCTGATCTATCTTTGAATATTTTGGGATTTGTTTTCTGGCCAGATCTCTACTTTTGGAGGCTTCCTGTAATGGCAATTGACCCTCTCCCCCTCAAAACTCACACACACATAAACTTGACCTGATAATGAGTAGGTGCCCAAGAAAATCCTGCAAATCTCTTGGGAAGACAGGCGGACAAACGTCAGCGTGCTGGAAGAAGCAAAGACCACCAGCATTGAAGCAATGGTCCTCCGCCATCAACTCATGTTGTTCAGATGCCTGACCACCGTCTCCCAAAGCAGTTGCTCTACTCTGAACTCAAGAACGGAAAACGGAATGTTGGTGGGCAGGAAAAGAGATTATAGATTGTCTCAAAGCCAACCTTAAACACTCTGGCATAGACACTGAGAACTGGGAAGCCCTGTTTTGAGCACTCCAGCTGGAGGTCATCTGTGACCAGCAGTGCTGCAGAATTTGAAGAGGCACGAATGGAGGGTAAAAGAGAGAAACGTGCCAAGAGGAAGGCGCGTCAAGCCGGGACCTCCTTCCACCTGGAAACCAATGCCCTCACTGCGGGAGATGATGCAGGTCAAGAATAGGGCTCCACAGCCACCTGCGGACCCACAACAATTCTGATCCTGGAAGACTATCCTACTCGGCCAACGAGGGATCCCCTAAGTAAGTAAGCCCAAGAAAAGCCCATGGACCTCTGAAATGGCTGGGATCTGTGGGTTACATTTCAGATCCCTGACACAGAACGAAAGTTTGGAGGTTTTACTCTTGTCAACACATAGGAGAACGTTCCCACTTGAGGCTGGTAAGAAGGCATCAATGGTACTCTCACGGTGTCACAGAATAATCCTTCTAGAGGTAGTAGATGTAAGCGTGCGTCTCCTACAAATAGTAATAAAAACTGCCCTGAGAGCTCCAGATAGAGCAAGGTAGATAGTGAGAATATGTCTCTACTCAGAAGCAAGCCCCATTGAATTCAGTGGGTTCTAGGAAAGGATAGTCTAAAGCAGGCATTGGCAAACTTTGGCCCTCCAGGTGTTTTGGACTTCAACTCCCACAATTGTGGGAGTTGAAGTCCAAAACATCTGGAGGGCCAAAGTTTGCCAATGCCTGGTCTAAAGGCTTTAAGGCATTGTAAAAAGATGCTGGGGGAAAGAATAGTCATCCTAATACTAAGATAACATATAAGCAATAGAATATAGCACCATGTTAAAGGAATACATTTCTACGCTTGCGGCTAATGTCTTTTTGAGTCACAGAAATTAACTCAGGTTCTACGTTACAGTTTAAGTAGCTATTTAAAAACACCATATCTCAATCTTCTCTGATTTCTTCCATTTGCAGGCGTAGTTGTGAAGAAAGGTTAAAAACACGCATCTTCTTAGGAAGACTTTTTGTAGTAAGAAACGTCAGCGTCCTGCAACGAACAAAACACAACATTTAGTCAATGAATTTTCCTTACTTAACCCTCAGATGGAAAATGCAAACTCTGGGTATAGAAACTAGTCGAGATCGGAAGGCGTGGAGTCATGGAACATGGTTAAATTCCATGGACTATTGCATTTGGCCACGCAATCTTGACTCGGATTTACCCACCCATCCCAAACTAAATTCATACTGTATTATTTCCTCTTAATCTAAGGCAGAGGAAGGAATCACACAGGGTTTCAGATACTGTAAGAGGTGAGGAATGCTGGGAGCTGTAGTTGTTAACACTGAAAATGGGGGGCACCTGGCTCGACAGCAGTACATGTGAAAAAGATCTTGGAGTCCTTAGAATCATAGAATCCTAGAGTTGGAAGAGACCTCATGGGCCATCCAGTCCAACCCCCTGCCAAGAAGCAGGAATATTGCATTCAAAGCACCCCTGACAGATGGCCATCCAGCCTCTGTTTAAAAGCTTCCAAAGAAGGAGCCTCCACCACACTCCGGGGCAGAGAGTTCCACTGCTGAATGGCTCTCACAGTCAGGAAGTTCTTCCTCATGTTCAGATGGAATCTCCTCTCTTGTAGTTTGAAGCCATTGTTCCACATCCTAGTCTCCAAGGAAGGAGAAAACAAGCTTGCTCCCTCCTCCCTGTGGCTTCCTCTCACATATTTATACAATACGTTGTCCTTGTGGACAACAAGTTGAACATGAGCCAGGAATGTCATACGTTGGCAAAAAAAGCCATTGGGTTTTTGGCCTTCATCAATAGAAGTCTAGTGTCTAGATCCAGGGAAGTTGGGCTACCCCTCTATTCTGCTTTGGTCAGACCACACCTGGAGTCACACTGTGCCCAGTTCTGGGCACCACAATTGAAGGGAGATGTTGACAAGCTGGAATGTGTCCAGAGGAGGGTGACTCAAATGATCAAGGGTCTGGAGAACAAACCCTATGAGGAGTGGCTTAAAGAGCTAGGCATGCTTAGCCTGCAGAAGAGAAGGCTGAGACATGATGAGTGCCATGTATAAATGTGAGAGGAAGTCATCGGGAGGAGGGAGCAAGCTTGTTTTCTGCTTCTCCTAGAGACCAGGATGTGGAACAATGGCTTCAAATTACAAGAAAAGGAGATTCCACCTGAACATGAGGAAGAACTTCCTAACTGTAAGGAGAACTATTCAGCAGTGGAACTCTCTAACCCTGAGTGTAGAATCATAGAATCATAGAATCAAAGAGTTGGAAGAGACCTCATGGGCCATCCAGTCCAACCCCATTCTGCCAAGAAGCAGGAACATCGCATTCAAATAACCCCCGACAGATGGCCATCCAGCCTCTGTTTAAAAGCTTCCAAAGAAGGAGCCTCCACCACACTCCGGGGCAGAGAGTTCCACTGCTGAACGGCTCTCACAGTCAGGAAGTTCTTCCTCATTTTCAGATGGAATCTCCTCTCTTGTAGTTTGAAGCCATTGTTCCGTCCTAGTCTCCAGGGAAGCAGAAAAACAAGCTTGCTCCCTCCTCCCTGTGGCTTCCTCTCACATATTTATACATGGCTATCATATCCCCTCTCAGCCTTCTCTTCTTCAGGCTAAGTGTGGTGGAGGCTCCTTCCTTGGACACTTTTAAATAGGCTGAATGGACATCTGTTGGCGGTGCATTGAATGCGATTTTCCTGCTTCTTGGTAGGGGGTTGGACTGGATGGCTCACGAGGTCTCTTCCAATTCAAAGATTCTATAAAAGGACTCAGTCATTCCGTAATTCCCTGCCATCAAGTTGCTCGTTTGTAAATCAAACGAACTCTACAAATCATAGAATCATAGAGTTGGAAGAGACCTCATGGGCCATCCAGTCCAACCCCCTGCCAAGAAGCAGGAATATTGCATTCAAAGCACGCCTGACAGATGGCCATCCAGCCTCTGTTTAAAAGCTTCCAAAGAAGGAGCCTCCACCACACTCCCTGGTGTCCTGTATCAGGTACTTAGCTGAATGTAATCATTAAATAACCTCTTCTAACCTGACCCCTCCTCAAAAGAACCCAATGGAAACATCATCCCACCTATCACTGGCAGAATGGGCCTCCTCATCATGCAACTCATCTATATAAATAAAAATGTAATGTTCGTTTGTGGGATTAACAGAACTCAAAAACCACTGGGCGAATTGATACCAAATTTGGACACAATACACCTATCGGGCCAATGAGTGACAATTACTCATAAAAACACTGAAAAGCACAGCGGAAGAGACTTAAAAAGCCAAAATAATGAAAAATACATTACAATGCATTCACAAAACATATATGCATATCTACATAAATAAAAATGTAATGTTTGTTTGTGGGATTAACATAACTCAAAAACCACTGGACAAATTGACACCAAATTTGGACACAAAACACCTATCAGGCCAACAAGTGAACATCACTCATAAAAACACTGGAAAACACAGCAAAAGAGGCTTAAAAAGCCAAAAAACAAAAAATACATTACAACGCATGCACAAAACCACATATATACACAAACACATATATACGCACATACACAAACATGCACACACACATATATATGCATATATACACACACAAAACATATACACGGGGAAGGAAGGAAGGAAGGAAGGAAGGAAGGAAGGAAGGAAGGAAGGAAGGAAGGAAGGAAGGAAGGAAGGAAGGAAGGACGGACGGACGGAAGGAAGGAAGGAAGGAAGGAAGGAAGGAAGGAAGGAAGGAAGGAGGGAGGAAGGAGAGAAGGAGGAAGAGAAAGAGGGAAGGAGAAAAGGAAAGAAAGGAGAGAAGGAAGGAAGGAGTGAAGGAAATAAAAAAGTGAAAGAAGGAAGGAAACAGAGGGAAGGAAGGAGAGGAGGAATGGAAGAAAGAGTGGGGGAGGAAGGAAGGAAAGAGAGAAAGAAGAATGGAACCAAAGAGCAAAGGAAGGGAGGAAAGAAACAGGTCGAGAAGGAAGGAAGAAGAAGGAAAAGAAAAAGGGGGAAGGAAGGAAAGAGAGAAGGAAGGAAAGAAAGAGGGAGGGAAGGTTGGCCACAGCAATGTGTGGCGGGTACAGCTAGTATACACATATACACACACACAAAACACATATACACAGACTGGGCCACAGCAATGCGTGGCAGGGGATGGCTAGTCCTCAATAAAATAGATTTGGTAAGTGGGGAAGTATGGTTGTAGCGAATCGAGTACTTCACACACATTCTCTCCCAATTCAGTAGGCAAATTACATACCACTCCGCTCTTAAAATTCTTTATCCTGGTCTTTCCAATGCGGTTCAGCAGCCACCAGGCCCAGGTAGGAGCATACTGCCAGAGGTAACATACTGCCAGGTATGGGTTGTCGCTGATCCAGGCTTCCTTTATATCGTTTGCCATGCTAACCAGACCTAGCCGAACACAGCGGTCAGTTGCCATTTTGTGAGACTGATCCCCAACGTTGGCATTCACCTGGATGAAGGAAAAAATGTGAGAGTGTGCAGCAAAGCAAACTTTGTCAGTGCAGTACAGATACGGATACACCTGTGCCTGGGTTATATTGCTTTAGTATACAAGAAAGAATTAGACGTCACAGATAAAGGCTTTTTCGCAACATGCTGGTTTACTACATGCAGGGAATCACAACTAGATGACTTTTCCATGAAGGGGGGAAACCAACAATTAGAATTTGAATCCTTGTGGACAACGAGTTAAACATGAGCCAACAATGTGATGCTGCAGCTAAAAAAGCCAATGGGATTTTGGCTTGCATCAATAGGAGGATAGTGTCTAGATCTAGAGAAGTAATGTTACCCCTCTATTCCACTTTGGTTAGACCACACCTGGAATATTGTGTCCAGTTCTGGGCACCACAATTTTTTTTTTTGTCGTGTCAGGAGTGACATGAGAAACTGCAAGTCACTTCTGGTATGAGAGAATTGCCCGTCTACAAGGACGTTGCCCAGGGGACGCCCGGATGATTTGATGATTTTATCATCCTTGTTGGAAGCTTCTCTCATGTCCCCGCATGAGGAGCTGGAGCTGATAGAGGGAGCTCATCCGCCTCTCTCCAGATTCGAATCTGCGACCTGTCGGTCTTCAGTCCTGCCGGCACAGGGGTTTAACCCACTGCGCCACTGGAGGCACCACAATTGAAAAGAGATATTGAATGTGTCCAGAGGAGGGCGACTAAAATGATCAAGGGTCTGGAGAACAAGCCCTATGAGGAGTGGTTTAAAGAGCTCGGCATGTTTAGCCTGCAGAAGAGAAGGCTGAGAGAAGACATGATGGCCATGTTTAAATATGTGAGAAGTCATAGAGAGGAGGGAGCAAACTTGTTTTCCGATGCCCTGAAGACTAAGACATGGAGCAATAGCTTCAAACTACAGGAAAGGAGATTCCACCTGAACATTAGGAAGGGGGCTATGAGAGCTGTTCAGCAGTGGAACTCTGCTTCAAAGTGTGATGGAGGCTTTTAAACAGAAGCTGGATGGTCATCTGTCAGGGATGCTTTGAATGCAATTTTCCAGCTTCTTGGCAGGGGGTTGGACTGGATGGCCCATGAGGTCTCTTCCAATTCTATGGTTCTATGATTAACCAATGGGATCTTGTTTACAATTCTGCTATCTTTGGCAAAGCCAGAGAACACTGTGTGGTCAACAAACCAAGTTGCCTGTGCAAAGGCTACAAAATCCAGCAGAAGTGGAACAAATTGAAATTGAATCCAGACCAGACAGAGGTCCTCCTGGTCAGTCGCAAGGCTGAACAGGGCATAGGGTTACAGCCTGTGTTGGATGGGGTTACACTCCCCCTGAAGATGCAGGTTCGCAGCTTGGGTGTGATCCTGGACTCATCGTTGAGCCTGGAACCTCAGATCTCGGCGGTGACCAGGGGAGCACTTGCACAGTTAAAACTTGTGCGCCAGCTGTGCTCGTACTTTGGGATGTCTGACTTGGCCACGGTAGTCCACACTCTAGTTACATCCCGTATAGACTACTGCTATTCTCTCTACGTGGGGCTGCCTTTGAAGATGGTCCGGAAGCTTCAACTAGTCCAACGATTGGCAGCAGGAGCGGTGCTCAGGGAGCATACAACCCCCTTGTTGCTCCAGCTCCACTGGCTGTCAGTTTGTTACCGGGCTCAATTCAAAGTGCTGGCTTTGGCCTATAAAGCCCTAAACAGTTCTGTCCCAACTTACCTGTCCGAACATATCTCCGCTTACGAACCACCGAGGACTTTAAGATCATCTGGGGAGGCCCTACTCTCGGTCCCGTCTTCCTCACAAGCACGTTTGGCGGGGACGAGAGACAGGGCCTTCTCAGTGGTGGCCCCTTGGCTATGGAACGCCCTCCCTAGGGAAATCAGAGTTGCTCCCTCCCTCTTGACGTTTCGGAGGCAAGTTAAAACATGGCTATTTGAGCAAGCGTTTACAAATACAGAGTAGCTAATATAGGAAATCGAATGACCTGACAATGGAATTGGCCAATGCTTGAGAATAATGAGACGCTGATGGTGTTGCTTTATTGCTTTTGTGATGTCTTATACTGTTTAATGTTTTTTATCTATATTATGTTTTATGTATACTGATTTGTTGGAAACTGCCTTGAGTCGCCAATTGGCTGAGAAAGGCGGTATACAAATACAGTAAATAAATAAATAAGAAAACCCCACTTTATTGCTCTACAAAGTTCCAGACATACACTATTTCAACTACCTGCTCACAGAAAGAGCCAACCAACATGAGGCAACATTCAGAGACAATATGGTCTCATCTATATTCAAAATTGGCACAGTGTCTGGAGCTTATAACTAACTTCCTTACCATAACAGCCAATGTGCTGTTACTAATGGCGTGTGGCTTTTTTGTTTATTATTAACTGATTGTATACTATTTATAGCCCATGTTTCCTCCAAGGAGCTCAAAATAATATCCAAGACTTCTCCTTTTCCCTAGTTTTCTCTTTGCAGCCAGATTGAGAGACAGATTAGAGGGAGAAAAATGATCAAGGGTCTGGAGAACAAGCCCTATGAGGAGCAGCTTAAGGAGCTGGGCATGTTTAGCCTGAAGAAGAGAAGGCTGAGAAGAGACATGATAGCCATGTATAAATATATGAGGGGAAGTCATAGGGAAGATGGAGCAACCTTGTTTTCTGTTTCCTTGGAAACTAGGATGCAGAACAATGGCTTCAAACTACAAGAGAGGAGATTCCATCTGAACATGAGGAAGAACTTCCTGACTGTGAGAGCCGTTCAGCAGTGGAACTCTCTGCCCCGGAGTGTGGTGGGGGCTCCTTCTTTGGAAGCTTTTAAACAGAGGCTGGATGGCCATCTGTCAGGGGTGCTTTGAATGCAATATTCCTGCTTCTTGGCAATGGGTTGGACTGGATGGCCCATGAGGTCTCTTCCAACTCTTTGATTCTATGAGAAAAGAGTTATTAACCCAAATGACACGTTTTCCAGGCCACTTAAACTGTGGGCTGCCTTAAAGTAATCTGGATATCTATAAGGATCCCCTGACGATGCAATGGATTAAACCCTTGTGCCGGCAGGACTGCTGACCAACAGGTTGGAGGTTCGAATCCAGGGAGAGTGCGGATGAGCTTCCTCTTTCAGCTCCAGCTCCCCATGTCAGGACATATAATTGTAGAGTTGGAAGAGACCTCATGGGCCATCCAGTCCAACCCCCTGCCAAGAAGCAGGAATATTGCATTCAAAGACCCCCTGACAGATGGCCATCCAGCCTCTGTTTAAAAGCTTCCAAAGAAGGAGCCTCTACTACACTCCGGGGCAGAGAGTTCCACTGTTGAACAGCTCTCAAGTCAGGAAGTTCTTCCTAATGTTCAGATGGAATCTCCTTTCTTGTAGTTTGAAGCCATTGTTCCGCGTCCTAGTCTCCAAGGAAGCATGAGAGAAGCCTCCCACAAGGATGGTAAACCATCAAAACATCTGGGCATCTCCTGGGCAACGTCCTTGCAGATGGCCAATTCTCTCACACCAGAAGCGACTTGCAGTTTCTCAAGTCACTCCTGACACACACAAAAAAACTTTATGTGTGCACCCAATACCCTTTTTTGCCACTAACAAAACAAATGGCCAAAAGCAATGATGGCACCTATCTGTATTACATTTTATTCATTTAGCATTTGTATAACTTTAGTTTATTTTGTTCTTTGCATCCTTTCAACCATCCTTACCTTTGAGATGTCTTCAGTAAAGACATTTTGTATGATCTGGGATTGGACCGGCCCCGGGCAGAGGTTAATTATACTTATTTCAGGGTACTCTGCAACCTCAGGCCGAAGAGAATTAAAGAAACCCTGGAAAGAAGCGAAGCCACCAGTTAAAAAGCAGCAGAGCACACCTAGGTCGTAGTTTCTTTACTAGACAAGACATCCAACAGGAACTAATCTCTATTGTTGTCGTTGTGTGCCTTCAAGTCATTGTCGAAGGCTTTCATGGCCGGAATTGCTGGGTTGTTGTAGGTTTTTTTCGGGCTATATGGCCATGGTCTAGAGGCATTCTCTCCTGACGTTTCGCCTGCATCTATGGCAAGCATCCTCAGAGGTTGTGAGGTGAAAATCTTGCATCCCATGGATGTAGCACTCTGGTGCAGGTGAAACGTCAGAAGAGAATGCTTCTAGAACATGGCCATATAGCCCGAAAAAACCTACAACAACCCAGTTTTATTATTATTTATTATTATCATAATTGTCAAAGGCTTTCATGGCCGGAATCACTGAGTTGTTGTAAGTTTTTTGGGCCATATGGCCATGTTCTAGAAGCATTCTCTTCTGACGTTTCACCTGCATCTATGGCAAGCATCCTCAGAGGTCGTGAAGTCTGTTGGAAACTAGGAAAATGGGGTTTATATATCTGTGGAGTAATGTCCATGGTGGGAGAAAGAACTCTTGTGTGTTGGAGCTAGGTGTGAATGTTGCAATTGGCCACAGCAATTAGCATTTAATTGCCTGACAGTTTTAAGGTGTGACTTGTTTCTGCCTGGGGGAATCCTTTGTTGAGAGGAGATTTGCTGTCCCTGATTGTTTCTTGTCTGGAGTTTCTCTGTGTTTGAGTTTTGTTCTTTATTTACAGTTATAATTTTAAAGTTTTTAAAATACTGGTAACCAGACTTTGTTCATTTTCTGGGTTGTTGTTTTTTCAGGCTATATGGCCATGTTCTAGAGGCATTCTCTCCTGACGTTACGCCTGCATCTATGGCAAGCATCCTCAGAGGTAGTGAGGTCTGTTGGAACTAGGAAAAGGGGTTTATATATCTGTGGAATGACCAGGGTGGGACAAAGGACACTTGTCTGCTGGAGCTAGGTGTGAATGTTTCAACTGACCACCTTGATTAGCATATAATGGCCTGACAGTGCCTGGAGCAAACTTTTTTTTGAGAGGTGATTAGATGTCCTTGTTTGTTTCCTCTCTGTTGTGCTGTTGTAATTTTAGAGGTTTTTTTAATACTGGTAGCCAGATTTTGTTCATTTTCATGGTTTCCTCCTTTCTGTTGAAATTGTCCACATGCTTGTGGATTTCAATGGCTTTTCTGTGTAGTCTGGCATGGTGGTTGTGAGAGTGGTCCAGCATTTCTGTGGTCTCAAATAAAATGCTTCCACAGATCATTCCACAGATATATAAACCCCTTTTCCTACTTCCAACAGACCTCACTACCTCTGAGGATGCTTGCCATAGATGCAGGCGAAACGTCAGGAGAGAATGCCTCTACACCATGGCCATATAGCCTGAAAAAACCTACAACAACCCTGCCTTCAAGTCATTTCTGATTTATGGCAATCCAATGGTATCAACATCATAGGCTATCACTCGTGGCTGGGTCTAATTGCCTTCCAGGGGTACATTCTTGGCGGTGGCGCTGCAAGTGACTGTAGAGACCTATTCTGGATCTGCTTGGTCTTTCACAGTGAGAACATACAAGAACATGTACATGATAATACTGTAATCAGAATAGCAATAAGGTCTTAATTTCCTACATACTCATACAAAGGAGAGGAATGGGAAGAACTCATGAACCAAAAGTCAACGGCTGTATCTTCCCATTGGCATTAGTTGGTAGAAGAAGAAGCAGAAGGTTGCAATTGAACCCATACTCTTCGAATAGGTCTTCCCACAGTCACATAACTGGCCACTGTGGGTACAGATGGCTGGGCTACATAGACCTTTAGTAAAGTGGGTTATGCGGGTTCTGCGTGCCACGTTTGGTCCAGTCCTGTCATTCTTGGGGGTTGCAGTGGTTTCTGGGAGTGAGTGAAGGTATTGCAAATCCCATCATACATGGTTCATCTTCCCCCAAACAACATCAAAATATAAAGTGGATCATTGGGGGAAGGGGGTCTGTGTGCCAAGTTTGTTTCAGATCCATCATTCATGAGGGTCGCAGTGGTCTCTGGGAGTGAGTGAAGTTATTGCAAATCCCATCATCCATAGTCCATCCTCTCCCAAACCACACCAAAACGTAAAGTGGGTCATGGGAGGGGCTATGTGCCAAGCTTATTTCAGACCCATCATTCATGGGGGTTGCAGTGGTCTCTGGGAGTCAGTGAAGGTATTGCAAATCCCATCATCCATGGTCCATTCTCTCCCAAACCACACCAAAACATAAAGTGGGTCATGGGGGGGGGGGGTCTATGTGCCAAGTTTGTTTCAGACCCATCATTCATGGGGGTCGCAGTGGTCTCTGGGAATGAGTGAACGTACTGCAAATCCCATCATCCGTGGTCCATCCTCCCCCAAACTGCACCAGGACATAAAGTGGATCATGGGAATTATGTATGCCAAGTTTGGTCCAGATCTGTCATTTGTGTTGGTCGCAGTGCTTTGTGGGAACTGAATCAGGAGAAAGTAGTGCAAATCCCATCATCCGTGGTCCATCTTCCACCCAAACTGCACCAGGACACAAAATGGGTTATGGGGGGTGGGTTTGTGTGCCAAATTTGGTCCAGGTCCGTCATTTGTGGGGGTCGCAGTGGCCTGTGGGAGTCAAATTGTGTGATTGTATGATCCTGGGAAGACACACAGAAAGATACAGATTCAATAGCAACCTCTGGCTTCTTAATGCAGCAACTAATGCTTTGACTGGTGGAGAGTGTGGGTGGACAGAGATGTGCCTGGTTATGTCTCACAGACAGATACAGACTGTCATGATATTATCTACTGATCTCTACTGGATTACAATGGAAGATCCCATCAGGGTACATATGTCTACAATAGTGATTCCCAAACTACATTCTTTGGAGACCTAGGGTTCCAGAAAATCATGTTACAAAAAAACTAGATGTTGGAGAGCAAATTGAGAGAGAAATTGGAATTAGTATAAGATTGTCTTACTCAACACCAGGATTGTGGCGCAGCTGGCTGAGTGTCAGCTGCATTAAGATCACTCTGAGCAAAAGGCCATGAGTTCGAAGCCAGCCCGGGTTGGGGTGGGTTTCCAACCAATTGTGTGTAGCCTGTTGTCGACCTTTGCAACCCGAAAGACAGTTGCATCTGTCAAGTAGGAAAATTAGGTACCACCTTAAAAGTGTGGGGAGGCTAAATTAACTGATTTATGAGGCCATAAAGAAGACTCCAGCAAAGCATTCCAACGGGGAAGCATGCAGGGAATGTGGAAGTGCTTCATTAGCGTCGCAGATGGACGATGAAAGCGACAGCTCCCCTGGCGGCCAGAAAAAGTTAAATAGCCTCTGTGTATGTCTGTATATGTTTGTATGTCAAAAATTGGCATTGAATGTTTGCCATATATGTGTACACTGTAATCCGCCCTGAGTCCCCTGCGGGGTGAGAAGGGCGCAATATAAATACTGTAAATAAATAAATAAAATACATAAATAAACACTGGGCACAGTAGGATCACCGCCTCTCTAGGGCCAGGAGATAGCAAGCTGGAAAGAAACAATCCCTCACCTGCAGAGCATGTTTGCTGGCACAATAGCCAGTAGCCAAGGGAGCTCCCATGATGCCCATCACGCTGTTCATAGTGACAATCTTCCCTGTTTTCCTCTGTATCATGTGGTCCAGGACATACTTCGTAAGGGAGATGGTGCCCAGGTAGTTGAGTTCCATGATAGCGTTGTAGACATCGATGCTCGTATCCACAAAGAGGGAGCGCTGGGAACGTCCGCCGTTGTTCACCAAGATATCAATCTTTGGCAAGCGAGGGAAGGAAAAGACAAAGATGACATTACTATTGAAGATGGGGAAGAAATAGCAACGGGCAACTAAAATGCTCAAGAAGTTGTAAACACAGGGGGCAAGGAATGCAAGGAAAGCCCAACTGCAACCAGCAGTTTCATGTCCTGTTTCACAAACAGCTTTTGATTCAGCTTCTAGTATGTCCTGGAGGGCTACTAAGCCACAACAGATATTTCATTTGCCATCTTGAAAAATACCAGATTGTATAATGTGCTATTATTTCAAGATGTCTGTACAACATTGGACTTTGGCTACCCCACCCCCATGTCCAGCCCCCCACCCCCCTTAGAGCTCAAACCCAAGAATACTGGTTCCCCACTTACCTTTCCAAAATGTTTCAGGACGCTTTGCGTTGCAGATTCATGGGTGCTCCTATTTGTCAAATCCAGCGGCACAATGAGGATATCTTTGTCACTTAGGCTGCTGATCTCTAAATTAAAAAAAAAAGTGGTGGATTTATTTATTTATTTACAGTATTTATATTCCGCCCTTCTCAGCCCACAGGGGACTCCAGGTGGATTACAATGTACACATATATGGCAAACATTCAATGCCAATTTGACATACAACATATACAGACATACACAGAGGCTGGCTGGCTGGCACTCTGCTGGCTGTTGTATTGGATCACACGTCGGACACTTCCCAAGTGTCTAGGACTGTGTGCTGTATTGGTGAATAATGCGCGCAGATCCCAGTAAGGTCGCCTTTTGCAGCTGGCAGATGGTAATTTTGTTAGTGCAGATTGTGTTTAAGTGCAGGCCAAGGTCTTTAGGCACTGCACCCAGTGTGCCAGAGTCTCTGTAATAATAATAATAATAATAATAATAATAATAATAATAATAATAATAATAATAATAATGTATTTATTATTATTATTTCCTTATAATTTGAAAACACTAGTTCAGGTTTGTATCTTTCAGAGTAGCAGAAGATCCACTGTGTGCCATCTAGCCCTTGACCTTCAGCAAGTCACACACGCTCGGCCTCAGAAACCCTGTGAAAAGTTCACCTTGGTCACCAATGGAAAGTGTAGTATAACACTACCTATTTATTGATTTATTTATTTATTTCAGGCATTTATTTATTTATTTGTCGTGTCAGAGCAACCAGTCCATTATATTACATTTCTAACAGCTGCTACGGCTGCTAGTTCGTCCCCTGGAAAACCGGTTAAGATGGTGGCATGCTAACAGCTGGTCTCCCGTCAGGGTAAGGCAATAATCTCTAATCCGAGCTTAATCTGAGCCATCCACCCCTATTCCGACCTCCCTTTAGTGGCTCCTGAACCGGCATCTCCTCAGGACCCCGGAGGGGGGCCTTAGGGGGGCTGACGGAGAGGAACCGGAGAGGAACCAGGGAGAAAGGAATTAAGAAGGGAAGGAAGAGGTAGAGCGAAGGCCGCTACCACCGCTACCACCATTACGGCCTGGGCACGCTCCCTCCCAACCCGCTGCTCGGTCTTGCCTGCATCTATCCAACTCGCAAACTGCCATCCCGCTGCTGCGGCTACCGGAGGGGAGACTGGGACGGCCGTCCTTTGGAGCTCGGCGACTTGCGACTTGTTGCTGACGCGATCGCTCCTGACTCGACCGCGGCCTGAATTGCAGCCTGGGCCAGCCGGAGGCGGCCGCTGGACTGCCGGAGCTGGAGGGCCGGAGGGCCGGAGAGGATCGCCGAGGCTGTTGTCGGCCAGCGCTGTAGCAGGCGGCTGCGTTCATCATCCTGCATCTTCCGCCTGCACCCCGGCGTGACTCGCGACTCCGCTCCGATCCCTCCGCGGCAAGGCTGGGCCTCCCTGTATCCAGTGGTGTGATTCCTCCGCGTTCCAAATGGTGCGAGTTCTGTGTTTCATTTTTGCCTGAGGCCCGGAGACGACCTGGCTGGGCCTTCTGCGCGCCCGCTGCCGCTGGAGCGAGTCCGACCGAGAGAGCGGTGACTCAGCATCTTCCCTGGGAGAGCCTGATCAGCGGTGACTCGGCGTCTTCCCTGGGACTCCATACTGCGGCCACGATTTTCCATTCGGCAACATTACCATCTACGGCTGCTAGTTCGTCCCCTGGTCGGCTGGAACTATATAACCTTTACATAGCTGCTGTTACAGGATTTGTTATCGGCCGCCATCACTGTAACGCCATCCATCGCGTTACTGCCTCCATTTCCGGAAAGACTATCCATCTCATCATCAGACCCTGCGGCCATCTTAGTGATCTAGCATTCCACTGCAAGGTCCTTAGTCATCAGAACTGTAGGAATATCACTAGATTAACTGGACTAGATTAACTGGATTAACTGGGTTTAACATCTACCTACCTGGGTTTTACATCTACCAATAAGACCAAGGACTTATATGAGCAAATTTGCACGGTTACTACGCTGTTAATATTGTTATCTTGAACCAACGCTGCTAACTTTTCCAACTGCCAGCACTTTAGATTGGGCCAACGCCATTAAGCCTTCCAACTGCACTTTATTCTGGGCCAATGCTGCTAATTTTTCCAACATCTAGCACCTTACTCTGGGCCAACGTTGCTAATTTATCCAACTGCCAGCACTTTAACCAATAATTTGCACTTGTATTTCAACGCTATTAAGTTGCCACCATAGCACTTTAGTTCTTTATAACGTATTAATTGTGCGCACTTTAATAATTCTCAACTTGAACATCTAGCACTTTAAGACCTACTGATACGTGAATTCTAGTGACCCAATCCAACCCTGCATCAATCTCTGTTCACCCATGTCGACATTTTTCCCTTGGTATCTGCTTATAGTGCTGTTGGTAGATTGGGAAGACATTAGAGGGTGGAACGGGTGGGAGGATCCTAGAAATTGTAAAGCAGGGGTAGGAAAGAATTGGATTGAGGTTGGGTGGCAAAAGCAAATAATCTGGACCAAATCATGGGTTGAAATCACGAAATCCAAGTGCAATATGGTAGAAGAGGGGTATTCCATTAGCCGGGGGGGTCCCCATAGAAATCATAACGGGGAGGAGGAGATGCGGGAAAGGGAGACCACTAATTCGGCCTAGAAATAGTGAAAATTTAACAACTCAAATTCGGCCTAGGGAGAGAAGAAGAAAAAATTTAATCACCTGTAATCGGTCTCCTGACAGGGTAAGTTGGTGTACCCAGGATGGCGGTCCCTCCGGGTTGAAGATGGTGCTGCTGAACGCCAGATCTGTCAATGGCAAAACATCTTTCATCCAAGATTTAATTCTGGAGGAACGGGCAGATCTGGCGTGCATTACGGAGACCTGGTTGGATGAAGCTGGAGGAGTAAATTTGACCCAGCTTTGTCCACCAGGATTCTCCGTACAGTACCAATCGAGACCTGGAGGGCGGGGAGGCGGAGTTGCGGTGGTCTATAAAAATTCAATCCCCCTGACCAGAGGCCCCATCCCACAGTCAACCAATTTTGATGTGTCCACCTGAGGGTGGGTGACCGGGACAGAATAGGGATTCTGTTAGTGTACCGCCCACCTCGCTGCACTACGGTCTCCCTACCTGAGCTAGCAGGGGTGGTCTCGAGCCTGGCATTGGAGTCCCAGCGGCTTCTTGTGCTGGGGGACTTCAATGTACACGCCGAGACTACCTTAGTGGGAGCGGCTCAGGACTTCATGTCTTCCATGGCAACCATGGGGCTGTCCCAACAAGTATCTGGCCCCACCCACAGTGCTGGACACACATTGGACTTGGTTTTCTGCCAGGGATGGGAGGAAGGTGGCGGTGTCGAGGAGCTATCCATCTCTCCGTTGCCATGGACCGACCACCACCTGGTCAGCTTTAGACTCACTGCACCCTCTAACCTCCGCAGAGGTGGGGGACCCATTAAGATGGTCCGCCCCAGGAGGCTTATGGATCCGAATGGATTCCTGACGGCTCTTGGGGATTTTCCTGCCACCGGTTGGTGATCCTGTTGAAGCCCTGGTGTCTCTCTGGAACGGGGAGATGACTAGGGCAATAAACACGATTGCTCCGGAACGTCCCCTCTCAAGTAGCCGAGCTAAACCAGCACCTTGGTTCAACGAGGAGCTGGCAGCGATGAAGCGAAGGAAGAGGAGACTAGAGCACGTGTGGCGTTCGGACCCGAGCGAGTTAAATCGAACACGGTTTGTTGCCCTCTCTAAGGGCATATGCCGTGGCAATAAAGGCGGCAAAGAAATCTTTCTTTGCGGCCAATATTGCGTCCGCAAAGAACCGTCCGGCGGAGTTGTTTCGAGTTGTCAGAGGTCTATTAAACCCCACCATTCCGGATGGGAACCCTGACAACTCGACGGCCCGCTGTGAAGCATTTGCTCGGTTCTTTGCGGACAAAGTCGCTTTGATCCGCTCTGACCTGGACTCCATGTTAACGGCAGTCTCTGAGGATGTAACACGAGCACCTGCTTGTCCGATTTTGATGGATTCATTTCAATTGGTGAAACCCGAGGATGTGGACAAGATACTTGGAGGAATGAGGCCAACCACATGCATCCTAGACCCCTGCCCATCCTGGCTTCTAAAGGAGGCCAGAGGGGGATTGGCCGAGTGGGTGGAAGTGGTGGTTAATGCCTCCCTTCGGGAAGGCAAAATTCCAGCCAGCTTAAAACAAGCTGTAATAAAACCGCTGTTGAAAAAACCATCACTAGACCCCACTCAATTCGTCAACTATCGGCCTGTTTCCAATCTTCCCTTTTTGGGCAAAGTCCTGGAACGTGTGGTGGCCTCACAACTCCAGGCATTCTTGGTAGACACGGATTATCTGGATCCGGCACAGTCTTGCTTTAGGCCGGGGCATGGTACTGAGACAGCCTTGGTCGCCTTAGTGGATGATCTGCGTCGGGAGCTCGACAGGGGGAGTGTGTCCCTGTTGGTTCTGCTGGACCTCTCAGCGGCCTTCGATACCGTCGACCACGGTATCCTTCTGGGACGCCTCGCGGGAATGGGCCTTGGTGGCACTGTTTTGCAGTGGCTCAGGTCCTTCCTAGAGGATCGTACCCAGAAGGTGTTGTTGGGGGACAACTGCTCGTCCTCACAACCATTGTCTTGTGGGGTCCCGCAGGGTTCAATACTGTCCCCCATGTTGTTTAACATCTACATGAAGCCGTTGGGAGAGATCATCCGGAGTTTTGGGGTGCGGTGTTATCTGTACGCAGATGATGTCCAACTCTGTCACTCCTTTCCACCCACTACTAAGGAGGCTGTTCAGGTCCTGAACCGGTGCTTGGCCGCTGTGTCGGACTGGATGAGGGTGAACAAATTGAAATTGAATCCAGACAAGACAGAGGCACTCCTGGTCAGTCGAAAGGCCGAACGGGGCATAGGGTTACAGCCTGTGTTGGACGGGGTTACACTCCCCCTGAAGACGCAGGTTCGCAGCTTGGGTGTGACCCTGGATTCATCGCTGAGCCTGGAGCCCCAGGTCTCGGCGGTGGCCAGGGGAGCATTT